GCTTCAAGGCCTTCTTTCGAGCCTAGGCATTACTCACACCGACCCTATGACTCTCTACTGTGACAACCAAGCTGCCCTTCACATTGCCAAGAATCCTGTGTTTCATGAACGGACAAAACATATTGAAGTGGATTGTCATCTTATTCGTGATGAAATACAACACAATCATATCCAACCCTCCTATGTGTCCACTCATCATCAACTGGCTGATCTCTTCACCAAATCTCTTGGCGCCACTAAATTTGGTTCTTTTTTAGGCAAGTTGGGCATTCATAACCTTCATACTCCATCTTGAGGGAGGGTGATAAACATAGAATATACGATTACAAATACCGTATCATGCCATGATTCTACATGATTAATTTTTTCCATATTTAGCTTGGCATGACAGCGATGCACAGTGATGCACATTAATGTCATATCTGTTAATAGACAAATTTAGGATACCGACTATAATGGTTAGCGTAATTATAGCCTAGAATGTTTCTGTATTTCATGTATATATTGTGCTATCATATTCAATACAAGAGGGGTTTTTGGAAATATTTTTATCAATGCTGTCTATGAAAAAAGCAATATCTAAGCTTCTAAAATTACAGTGTATATAAATCTGTGTTTCGTAAGGAGTTAGACTTGGACATTTGTTGTTGTTGTATAACAAGAATTGAAGCATTGGAAGTGCTATCTAAGGCAGCAAGCAAATCTCCAATCACACCCAACTCAGAAAACTCTGTCCAGCTCTCAAGTGCTGTTGTAAGAGGCGATTTGATACCATTACGCCTCCCAACTACAAAGAAATCATGCTGATCTGCAATACTCGACACAAAAGCACTGGTCTCACAAGGTTCATCAATAGTGATATTTTCATATGACACATTCTCAATGCTACCATAGTACCCGTTGACACCTTTCAACACCTCATCATCGAGCATCAGGTCCCAGTTAGCCACACTGTTGCTCGAAACCAAGTGGTAGACGACCAACTTGAATGAACAATCTTTGATTGTCCTCTTAGCAAAACTCAATGCCTCTCTATCATCTGAACCCCCCAGAAAGATAATTGCTATTCGCTTCATTGAATGGGTTATGCTGTTGTTGTAAATAGTGGAAGAAGAAGAGCCTCGCTTCACGAGAATCCCCACGGAGCATGGTGCTCTTTGAAGGACCTTAGCGTTGAGAGTTCTTATGTTTTTATCTGTTGATTCGATGGAACCATCCTCACCCCATCTCACGTGAAATGGAAGAATGATGATGGAAGCGAGTTTGTCCAACGCAAGGTAACAAATATCATCATGCATGAAACGGAAGGGAGATATGGCTGTGTAGGTGTTAACTAATGCAGTTCCCGCTTTGTCATGTTCGAAGAGGTCGAATGCTACAATGACATCTTCGGAGTAGTTGTAGTTTGAGTCGACCCTTTCTTGGACACGGTGTGAGATGAAGATGGGAGAGGATCTACCAACTAACTCCTTGAGATGCAAGACGTGCGCCACTAAGGGGTTGTTTGTTGTGGGACAACAAAAATCAAGAGCGTTTTTAATGGACATTATGTGGCTTGGTTTGTGAATGCACGCCACCACCCGAAGCTCTGCGTTGGGTTTCATGTTGAGTATATTCCTTTTCTGATAACCTGCGTATTTCCTTGTTGGGTCCAACAGAACTTTTACCCCAATGCGTGCAGTGCTTCCTAAGACCAATATTGATATAGCAATAATGGAGACGGCTTCATTGCTCATTAACTGCATTGCATGAGGACTAAAGTTAGATTGTAAAAATATAATATGCATGGAACTTATATTTGTGTAGAAAAGGTGATGTGAAAAAGACATCAATAGAGCTAAATGCACCTATTTTGATGATATAAGCATGGTTTACATTTCAATTTTGATGTGGCAAATTGGAATAGAGTACTGGTTATATACCATTGAATCAAATAGAAAGACGCTGGTGACATAGTCGACGACACCTTTGCAGCTCAACATGAGAGCGAGGCACAAACCATCGGTTTTGGGCATGTTGCAGCAGCTGCAAATTCCAATAGTGAGAAGCATCTTAACCAAATGGACAACAACAATTATTGTGACCACAGCGAAAATCAATTGGCTATTAATATGTGCGGAAATATCGATCTTCATGGCACAGCAGGTGATAAATATTGGCAAAAGGAACCAAGTGTTGAACAACTCAAGCTGCTTTATCAGTTCAGAACCCAATGGAGGACCTTCTGGCACAACAAGACCAAAGAGGACCACCCCACCTAACACACTCTGGTGAGCCCACACTCCAAACAACCCCGCGAAGAAGGTCATGAGGACCACCACATAGGTGTATGCTTTCTTCACAGGTCTTCCTTCAGGTGTGTTCCTCACAATCCACCTCATTGCAGGGCGTCCAATCACAATCACAATTGTCAAGAAAAGAACGTATTTAGTGGCAGTGAACATGGCAAGTTTAGGTCCCTTTCCCTCAGAATGATCATGAGAATCGGTTCTAAGGCTGCTTACAACAGCAGTGCCTAATCCTGTCACAGCTGAGCCTAACACATCCATAACAAGAGCTGATGAGAGTGCTAAGCGTCCAAGTTCAGAGTTCAAAATCTCCAAATCAGAGAGAAGAGAAGCTATCACTGCGAAGGAACAACCTGTCTGTGACATTACTACCACCGGGAGTCTTCCTCCATCAAAATCTCCTAGGGCTTTCTGCCAGTGCTCCATGAAGCTGTAGCATAGGAACATGCCAATAATCGTTGGGGTCATCAGGGAGAAAAGAGCGATTGTCCAAGCTTTCTTCCCAGTTCTCGTTATCATGCTGAAATCCATTTTCACCGCATTCTGAAACATGAAGAATGTGTACCCAAATGATGATAATAAATTCAACAAGTCTTCACTACCGTATGGGAACAACATGTATTTTTGCTCTTTCAAGGAGTCTATTTTGAGAGAAGGACCTAAAACAAACCCAGTCTGCAATTGGAAACACACATAAATAAATATATATTGATGTGACATGTCATGTTCTTGAATGGGACTAGAAACAAAGATATATAGGACAAGGGGAGAAAACATATATGTATATACCATCATTTGAGAAACGAAATAGGGAATTCCCAGACGCTTGAACACCAGATGAAAGCATTGTGTAATGATGAAAATGGCGAGAATTTGGAGTTCCAACAGAGGCAGTGTCGCTTTTTCAGGTAATGCACCATAATTAGTGTTACCCCAGATACCATCGGATACAATCTTTGGTGGCATATCAATCTTAACATTGTAGAAAACAAATCTTCTATCTGGGTCTGAATTGTGGTCGTCAAACACTACTCCGCTGAAAATTGTTGTCCTTATGCTTACTAGGGTCTCGTTTGTTCCCATGAAGTCTCCGAGTAAAATTTACAAAATTTGAAATCAATACTTCAAGATAATAATAACATCTATCAAATCAACACAAGAAATGAAATGTTGATACAAGTATTTTTTTTATAGTTCAGTTGTAGCTACAATTGGTGTTAGCTGTGACAGACTAGTTTCTTACATAATTGGAACACATTGTCATAACAAATCATAAATGATAACGATTTTTCCATTTCTTGTTTCAGCTATGCTTGAAACAGGAAAAAAAAAAAACCCTAAAAATTGCAAGTTAAATTTCCATGTCACACCTCAGGTAGAACCTGGAGAGAGTAATCATAACTTGTTAAGCACAACTAATATTGTTATTCACAAATTGATGGAAGTGACAGGGGCATGCTTTGTTTGAATAATATATTACTATGACTAATTTTTCCAATTGACTTTTCTTTAAATAGGGTAATAAGTATCGGGAGGATTACAATACTTGTGTTTCTGTGTTGTATGTACTAATTATGCACTGTATGTATTACTTAAAGATATTATAAAAAAGGAACAATTATATAACACAATAATTCACTGCTATATTCTAATTATTTATTTAAACATACAGCTTTTTTAAGAGTTGTTTTCGATTCTTCAACAAATACTTGTTTGGATAACTATTTAAAAATATAATAAAATAAGCAAAATATAAGAAAGAAGTTGATTTGTGTTTTTATTCTTTTTCATAAACGTATTGGACAACGTGTGACTATAACAAATTTTAAAACAAATAGATTTTTTTTTGTTTGAACAAAAATTAAAACTTTATTACATATGATAATTTTCACAAACTATTTTACAAACTCACAAAGGACAAATCAAGAATGGAGACTTAGATTATACCTAAAAGAAAAAAAAGGAAACATGGATACTATGATCTTAAACAAACTGCTTGATTTTCATTAACAACTATTAATACGACTATTCTTCTGTATCAATTTTTATTACTAGTATTCTTTTACTAGTTTCTCCATGTTACCTTTCAAGTATTATTTGATAATTTATCAAAGTTTTTACAACAATATATCAAGCATACTTTAGTTTATACACCACCTAAGGTATGGTTAAAAGAGAACGTCTATAGCATTGGGTTATTCTCTAATCCTACTCTCCTAAAAAGACGAATATAAAGTTTTTGGTTTACTAAGGTTAAATTGTACGAAAAGGGAGAAACAAAAACACAACCCTATGTGGAATCCTCTTCTTTCTATAAGACGATTGTTATCTAAGGAAATTAACTTTTGAAAGTAGTTGTAATCTTATATTCTTCTTCTTCTTATTTTCGAGTTGTATATCCATATATCTTATTGAACTTGTTTGAGGAATCTTAACTTTCATGCATTAAATTTTTATCCAAGGTAGATGATAAGTATTAATGACATTCACCAACTTTTGTCTTTTTTTTTTTAATAACCCATATTCCTTATCAATATTGAATGAAGAGGTTTTTTTTCTCTCTCTCTTTTTTAACAAAAACATTATTTTGTTATTTGTAGGAAAGATTTGATGGGGGTTGAAACTACTGTTTTGAAAACCGGAAATTAGACTATAAACTGGTCAGCTACTTTTAAATAATCAAATTTTAATTAAGTTAAAATAAAATGTTAAGAATTAGAGTAACTAGATAAAAACTTACAACTAAAAATAAAAGATAAAAAAGGAGAAATAAAATCAACAATTGACAATAATAAAATTTTATTATCGAAAGAAATTACAATACTCTCTTTAAATCTAAAGAGAAAAGAATAATAATATTTTCTTTCAGAAATAAGATAACTCAACTATTGTGCAATGTACTAGTAGAAAGGAGAAGGAAAAGATTTGAGGTGATTTCGACATTGTGCTCCTTTTATAAAGGGAAAATTAAGCACCAACATATAATTTCTTTGATATGAGATTTCTCTTCCCACATTCTCACAATTTCTCATTTGAAGATTTTAATTAAATTAATACACTACAAAAAAAACGCGTATTACCGACGGATATTTACCGACGGATTTATAATCGTCGGAAAATAATTATTACCGACGGAAATTACCGACTGTAGACCCCTAATTTTGCCCGGCCTCTCAAAATAAAAGCTAGGGAAACTTCATACAGTTCACCCAGCTTCATATCAAAGAAAAACCGCGAAAGACCTCCCGCAACAAACACGGAGATCGCTCATCTGCACGATAAAGGACAAAGGAGACTTCCTATACAGAGATAAAGCTCATCTAGCATTACAAATAAGAACCAAGGAGACTTCCCATATGAAGATAAAGCTTCAATAGACACATATCGGCATCAACTGACGTCCAAAACAGGCAAGGAAAGCTTCCCGGAGTCCCGAAACGCGCGAAACTGGCCAGAACAGGTCGAGACGGCCGTCCCAACCTCTTAAATCCGGTTGGGACGCGCGTCCCAAAGCTGGGACGGCCGTCCCAAACCCATTTTAAGTGGGACGGCCGTCCCGGCCTTCCTGGGGTCCCGCTCGTGTAAATTTGCCATTTGGGACGGCCATCCCAGTCCAGACAGCCGTCCCAACCCAGACGGCCGTCCCAAAGTGCGCCAGCTGCGAAAACTATAAATAGGAGGCTCATTTGCCACTTTTTCACACCCCAGACATCCCAGAGAGCTCTGAAACACTTTCTAAAACTCAGAGCACTTGTCTATTTCTCTCCCTTTCTCGAATGATCTTTCCGATTGCCTTAAATAGGTAACAATCGGTTAAGGAATTATATTCCGGCATTTGATTCTTCTTTAAATTTTTAGTGGAGTCGATCTTGTATTGGTGAGGAGAGTCTGTGTAGAGAGAGGGGTTGCCAAAACGCATCCTCACAGTTGGAGATTCTCAATACAAAGCTTGCTACGGAGGTTCTTTTCAATTCTCTTCTCTTTTATTGCTTTATTTATTGTTTTATTTAGCTTTATTTATGCCATGTAGAATAAAATCATGTAGATAACTATTTTAATATCTCTTTTATTGCTTTATTTAGCTTTATTCATCATTTTATGCATGCAACATAGAATAAAATCATGTAGATAGCCATGTAATATTATGTAATAAAATAGGGTAATCGCGTAATTTCTCGTAGTCTTTACTTAAATGAATTAATCTGTCATAGGGAACCCGAAAGGGGCGTTGTGGGGTGCTAACACCTTCCCCACACGTAACTAACTCCCTTACCCAACTCTGGTTATAATGACCAAGTTTGGTTTTTTTATTAAAATCAATTCCTTTTTATCCTTTTCCAATGTTTATGGTCAAAACATTGGTGGCGACTCCATAAGAACCCCTTTTCGAAAACCTTTTAAAACAAATACGCGAGTCTAAACCATCTTTTCGCGACCGCTCGCATAAACGTTTCGAGACGTCCTCAGGACGTCGGAAGGGACGGCGGCGACAGATGGCGACTCCGCTGGGGAGGCTAGAGAGTTGATCCCATTTAGTGACAGATAAATTCAAACTAAGCAAAGATTTGAAATTACGCCTTTACCCTTCTGTATGTTTTTATTGTATGGCTTTTAATAACTGCTGTATAATTATTTCTGCAATTGTTTGAAATATAAATTGCACACAAAAACCCTTGCACACAACAGTCCCTCTATACCGGGGGCAAGAGTGAATATCTATAGGGAGTGGGTGGCGGATACGATCGGTTAGTTGGCACACGGGCTACTGCCGGTTGTCGGAAAACCACCAACTCAAGGTGATAACTCTCTTCTTTTGGTCTAAGGGTGTCGCCACGGAGTTCCGTGCATGACCCAAGGATTGAGAGATTGAGAGGTCCCTATAATGGGGGCACCTTGGGGACCTTTGGCCTGGTGAGAACAGTTAGAACCACCTAAACCAAGCACGTTTCGCAGGAAAATCCTACCTCGTGATTAAATAAGCGTGGCTCGCTCGTGGATGTATGAATTGTGTGTGCATACGTTTGCTGCATTTGTATTGATGCATTAGTATAGGGTAATCATACAACAAACAAAAAAGTGAAAAACCCTAAAAATCATAAAAAATGAAAAACCCTAAAAATCATAAAATAATGAAAAAATCCTAAAAATATAAAAACATTAAGGTCATAAAAATACCTTTTTACAAAAGATTTTTGGCAAAGTCGTATCATTCATACCATATCATTCAATAAGTGGTAAAACCAAGAGAGAAAACCAATGCATTAAGAAAAGTATGCATAAACATCATCATAATAAAACCTCTCATACGTAAACACATTCATCCTAGGGCATATTTATTCCACGCTAATCATTTAAAATAAAAAGTCATAATAAGAATCATTAAAATCATTTAGAAGGTGGCTGGTCTTCCGCCCGTCCTCACTCGTGCTCAAAAAGCTAAGAAGATGGAACAACTAGAAGAACAAAACCGAAAGCTCACCGCTGGGATTACTACACTGAAAGAACAAATGGCTCAAATGTTAGAAATGATGCATCAACAGAATCTTCATCGAGAGGGTCCTCAGAATGGACAAGCCTCTCACCAGGAAGAAGAAGAGGAACCTCAAAATGAGCACGATCAATCTGACACAAGAACAGTACATATTCATGCTCCTGAAATATCAAAACAACAAATCACTGCTCTTGAAGAAAGGCTGAGAGCCATGGAAGGTCATAACTTCGATATAAAAGAAGCAGCTGACATGTGTCTCGTCAAAGATATCCAATTCCCTAACAAGTTCAAAACTCCGGACTTCCCAAAATACATGGGAACGACCTGCCCAAGAAGCCATCTTACAATGTACTGTCGTAAGATGGCTGCACATGCTGATAATGAAAAACTCCCGATCCACTTGCTTTCAGGAGAGCACTGGCTGAATCGGCTTTAAACTGGTATATGCAACTCGGAAGGAGGGCAAATCCAAACCCGGAGACATATGGCGAGATGCATTTCTTCGTCATTATAAATACAACATTGACTCGACCCCTGAAAGAAGCAGATCTACAATTATTAAGCAAGAAAAACGACGAATCCTTCAAAGCAT